TGTGGGGTTTGGAATGACTCCAGCCATCACAGGACTCTGTCCACAGAAGATGTCTCCCAGGGCAAGGGGGAACGAAGGAGAAGCACAAGGCAGGAAATGCCCAAGTGTTGTATGGCATGTGCCTCTGAATGACAGCAACTCCCCTTCCAGGGGAGGGGGAAGGAACACAAAAACTTGGGCAGCTATTAACAGTATGAAAGGGGTGCCAGTGGCTGGGGCTGGTGACCCAGACAAGTCAAACCCAGAAAGATGGGTATGCTTGGGTGCTGGGGCAGTGGAGCTGCCCGCATGGTGCACACAGCGAGATCGGGGTTGCAGCTTTCAGGAATCTTCACCCATATTGGAACTGGCCCTTTGAAAACAAAACTGCTTTAGAGTTAGCTGTTCACCAAAGTGAGCACTGCACTGCACAGCTGTTACCCTGGCCTGTCACAGGCTCTCTTTCTGGCGTGAGCACTCCTGAGTATTGTAGTCCCCCCCCCAAGAAAGTCTGTCACAGTGTTGTCTTTTTTGACAGGTCGTTCGAAGCTCTCCTGAGAGACATGTTTGCATCTTGTCCCACCCATAACTTCCGCTGACAAGGAAAGCTTGCCAGAGCCTCATCTGGAAGGAGCATTCTAGAAGTGTGCTCCCGATGATCAGAACTTGTCCTTTCACAGACAGCTTCCTTGGAAGGATCCAGCGAGGGAGCAACAGAGAACATCAGATACATCAGCTACTCAGAAAACGGCCAGTGCGAAGCTTTGCTGCACGGGGCAGATGCTGTTCCTAACCATCCTCACGTTTATGGGGCACAGAAGCAGATCATCACACATGAAAAAGGAAGAGCAAAAGCTTGAGAGATGGCTCAGAGGTTAAGAGCACTGGCTGCTCTTCCAGAGGTCCTGAGTTCAATTCCCAGCAACCACATGGTGGCTCACAACCATCTGTAATGAGATCTGGTGCCCTCTTTTGGGTGTGTAGGCAGAATACTGTATATATAATAAATAAATAAATCCTAGAGAGAGAGAGAGAGAGAGAGAGAGAGAGAGAGAGAGAGACAGAGAGACAGAGAGACAGAACAAAGTGATGGCAGGGTTAGGAGAGTTTGGAAAGGAGAGACAAGCAAACAAGGCTCAGTAAGAAATTAGCATTAGCAAGCTTCCATTCAGAAATAAAAGCAGCTGGGCACCATGGCACATGCTTTTAACCCAGCACTGGAGATGCAGAGGCAGGCATCTTTACATCAGCCTGCTCTATATATTGAGTTCTAGGTCAGCCAAAGATACATAGTGAGACCCTGTCAAAAAAATAAATAAAAATGGAGGATGAGGAGGAAGATGAAGAAGAACAAGAAGAGGAGGAGAAAAAGAAAGGAATAGAAAAGTGGAATATTTTGGTAGTAAGAGAGACGAAACAGTGCATCCATAAATTTTGATAGTGTGTGTAAAATATATACAAGAAAGTGGTGACATCTGTTTCGGTGGCTAGTTAAAGAGTCAATAAAATATGTATACCCCCAAGTTTAGGAAAAATCCATACTTTTAGCATGGAACTAAATGCACATTTCTTATCATTGAGCTGTTAAGTTGTTATGTAAAATGAGTTTACATGCCAGCATTCCTACATGGCTGCCCATGCACCCTGCACTGTGACATCAGGAAGGGACACGTAAGAAACAGTACTTCCCGTGGCCCATAAGCTTCTAGAGTTGATCCCTGCAGCACAGGAGAAAAATCACAGTGCTGAATCTGGAGCTTGTTCCCAGCCTAGAGCATCTCTTGCTCAGCATTCCCTTAGGCCTTAGACTTGACACCTCCACATTCCCAAGTCTGAGTGAAACTGGCTACTCTTCAGGCCACTTCCTGCTTACCTAGAAGCCCCTCCCATGAGCGCCCATCTAGTCCAGTGGTGTCAATCACTACAGGAAGAACTGAACATTTTAGGAGAGGATAAGCAAGTAGAAAGGCCACTGAGAGGGGATCAACTGTCTACCTTTGGAAGGAAACTGAGGCACTTCACACTGTCTGTGAGAGTGGTCCTGGAACACTCCTCCCAGAGACAAGCTGAGGTGAGGTCACGCCTCCTAGATTTTCTGTGTCTTCACGGAGTACTCCCACCATGCTGATCCAGTCAATGAACACACGCAGCGGGGAGTCCCAGGTCCCTAACCATCCTATGCAGGGCTCCCTGCAGGGGCAGCCTTGGCTCTGGGGTTCTCTGATGTCCTGACCAAGAATTTTTCGAGCCTCTGGCTGCTTCAGGCTTTTCTCTCTGCTCTGCGAATGAACGCTCTTACCAACCACATCTCCCCTCCTTTTTCTTTTTCCCAGGTCATCTTCCCCCTTGGGAAATCTCTCTTTTAGTTAAAACCCCACCTTGGCATCTGATTCACAGAGCACCCCTGCGATTATGTGCCAAGCACACGGCGCAGCCAAGACCAGATAATTGCATCTCAGCTGAAGGAACACAGAAGACTCCTCTGGCTAAACAACAAAAAAATAGCCAGCTCCTACGAAGTTAACTTTCTAAGATGCAACCCCCCAGAGGTCAAGATGGAGAGGCCGCTTCAGAGAGCCACACTGATCCCTTCCGCACATCACACAATCACACATCTGTATCACCTCTCCCCAGCCAGAGAAGCTGTGAAGAGCACAATTATTTACGCTCCCTCAAATCAGCAGATCGCACGAATCCCTCACAGGACCTTCAACCAAAAACACCTCTCAGCTTCAACAAGCGCTCTTTTCAACTCCTCAAGATGCCTATTCCCTTCCGGGAGAACGGCATACTCTTCTGACCCCTTCCCCCGACCCCGTGCGTATCTCGATTCTCTTCTCAATCAGAGCCGAGCCTCAGTGGTCTTTACTTCGCCGCTTCCCCTTTGCATTCTATTCTTACACAATAATATTTCCCTGGAATGTGTGTTCCTTTACGTGACTTTAAACATTTAGTTGTGATTTATCGGGCAGCTAGTGTCAGCCCAGTGTGATATGTCATCTTTCTACCTTTCCTGAGGCTCACCCCTGAGGAGGTATTGTATAAGCAAAAACGATGCTCCACAAATGCTTGGGAAAGAAACCTGGACGATATGACCGAGAGGGATGGCGGTGGGTAGGGACGAGTCATCTGACAGGCAAGATCTGAACGGAGACTAGCAAGCACACAATGGAGACACCCTCGGTCAGCACGCAAGAGAGGACTTCAAAGGAGACTTTTGCGAAGACTCCAGGAAGAGAAGGGCAGTGCCTCTCTTCCTCTCCTAAGAGTTGGCGAGGGCTGCCTCCATCTATGTCCCAGCCACGGTTGCATCTTGGTTTTGACTCGAGGGAGGTGAACTTCAATTGGAGGCAAACACTGTGTGTAGCTCTTTCCTGTCCGAGAGCAGGGTGGAACCTGGGATCACTGTGTCCCTCGGTCAGACAGGGTGTTCCTGTGGCAAATTGTCTGCAACTTCCCTGAATAACTCATGCCCAAGGAAATGGCAGAAAGTGGGGTTTGGGGAAGGCAATCCAGATGCTGAGGAAAGAGTCCTCACAGATGAGATGAGTGCAGACAGCTCAATGGGGGAGTTTTACTAACAGTGGGACCCTGGGTCTGATTCCCAGAACAGGAGGCGTGCCTTTATTAACATAGATCCGGAAGGGAACAATGCAAGCTTCTTCAAGTGAAAAAGCTCCGTGGGATGCTGCCATGGGGTCGTCATACATTCCTTCTTTCTTTGTCCATGTATGTGTCTTTAATGTGTGTGTGGCAGATGAGTATGTGACGATTCACGTGAGGTGCATGTGGAGGGCAGATGGCAGAGGCGGGCGTTTTCCTTGCTCTCCTTCCACGCTAAATTTTGAGGCAGGGTCTCTCCTGGGCTAGGCGGGGCTGGCTGGTCTACCAGTGAGATCCAGGGTTCTCTTGTCTCTGCACACACGCCACCCCAGCACTGGAGTTACGAGATATGCTGCCGAGCTTGGCTTTTAATGTGCATGTTGGGGATCTGCATGCAGAGAGATCCTCAGGCTTGTAAGGCAGGCATGGCACCGACTGAGCTATGGCCTGGCTCTCTGCTTTGCTGTTTTCGCTTGGTTTATTCTTGTTACCTGCTGCCTGACTGAACAGAACAATTAATGCTCAATCCAGTTTAATCGGACTCTGATAACAAGTTTAGTTTCCCGGGAAGAGGTATCTGCTAAGCTCTCCAGAGTTGGCTCACGTCGGAAGACAATCCTCTCAAAAGGTGTGAAGACATTTCATCACGGTGGAAGGAACGGAGGGAGATTTACTATGGCGACTAGGGCTATTTTTGTCAATGTCTTTGGAATTCTAATTAGACTGTTAAAACTTTACAAATCATTACAGGAGCTCCAGACTCAACACCTTCCTGCAAGCTAGGGTGCTTCTGCTACAGGAGCATCTCCGTGCCACAGGTAATGATGCATGGCTGAGAATATAGTTGCAGGGAAATTCCGCCAATAAAACCAGCTGGAAGAGACAGAACTCATTCATCTTCCTTCCTCTCCCAGGTCTGTGCCTGAGGGTATGATGTCTGCTGCAGAGCGCGCCAGCCCTGCCCTTTCCTTGCCAGCAGCTACAAGGTGCTGGGTCCCAGACTGAAGCTCAAAGGCTTGTCCTGGCTACTTGTATTTCCCCTCTTAAATCTGAGAGGCAGATCAAAAATATTCACCAGTGGCAAGGAACTTGAAAACGGGATAGTTTGAGAAGAGTAAGGAGACAAATGGCAGATATAACACCACCCGAGAATCGTATATCTTCGAGCACTCTGATTTACAATATGGGCATTCACAGAAATACCTGAGGGGAAACAAATGGTTCGCTGTGAAGCCAGGCCGGTTATAACTGTGCAGGTTATAAATGTGGGCGTTCTTTACTCGTAAGATAATGGCTCTAAAGCCCTTGCACAGCAGAGGGCAAGGAGTGACATCAACCTCCGTCCTCTGCAAGATAACCTGAGTCCTTTAGGTGAAGATTCCAGCCCTTCACTTTCCAGCTAAAGGAAGTTTACTCACCATGATGGACGACGCCCTTCAACCCGTGGATAATAGGATCCAGTGCGGAATTGTCCCTCGGACTGACCTACATGTAAAGGAAACATGATTGGTTAAATCTGTCCTGGCATCAGCTACAACGGCCTCAGTTTAATCTTCTAAAGAGAAGCAGGAAATGGATGCACCCAGTGAGCTGTTCTGGTCTCACATATTCCACGGTGCTCACCAAATGCCGGAGATTTACAACACAGTAAAATTAAGTGAGGAAAGTCTAAATCACAACAAAGAAACTTCTCAGAATACATTATAACAGGAGAGACATACCACCTCTGTAGCAAAGCCTTAAAAAGTTACTGCTCCCAGTCGGTTGAACAAAAGTCACCGAAAGGTATCAGAGAACAATCCATCATGGGCCCAGCAGTCACTGCCCCCTGCTGATTGCGTTTTCCCTGCTCCTTAGAAAATGGTCCAGTTCCCTGCCAGCTCATTCTCCTCTGCAAAGACCCCAGTTCTCTGGGAAAACCCCTGTTCTCTGTGGGCATTCGTAAGAAGCATCAAAGCAGGATGGTAGAAAGATAATGTGTCTGCCTTCATCTTCCTTCTAGAATCGATGCTACTCCAGACCGAGCCTCATGGTCCGTGGCCCCACTGGCTCATTCCTTCAAGTTTTAGATACTGCTTAGTATATTAATGCCTTTTGTAGATGAAAATATCCCTAGTATGCTAGTTATAATTTTAGCTATTTTCTCTTAGATATGTACAAGGAATGATTCAATGAAGCAGAACCATGTCTGAAGTGTGCTTTTAAAACAATCCAGGAGTGGGTACCAACTGGACAGTGGGGAGATGGAAGACTGGCCTTGAGTCAATCATTTAGGACTTGAATGGTAGGTATAGGATGTGTCATGATACATCATTTCTACTCCTATGTATGTTCTTTTTCACTCCTAAAAATAAGGAGCTTTTCAAAATCCATTATCTGCGGTTAGCATAGTTCCTGCATTTTTCCCCTTCAGGGACTGCATTTCCTATTAATCCACTTCTCACATAATGAAGTTGAGATATTGATGAACCTTTCAATGTGCAGCAAGACCCAATTTGCTGTTTCAAGTTAACGCAGAGGAATCCAAAGCCAGCCCTATGCTGAGTTTTCTCGGGACTACAAAGGACACACACCACTTCCAGCTTAGGCAGATGCCCCCATCGCTGTTGAGCTGCTGTTTCTGTCTTGCTCTCTTGGAGACTAATCCACACTTCACACATTTCTTTCTCTTTTTGCTCCAGCATCTCCAGGATACTGCAGTGGCTCAAAACAGTAAACTGGGACACCTCTGCCCCGCTAAGGGAACATGTGATCATTCCCAAGACATTTCTGATTTGTCACAACTACAGTGGGTGGAGGGGAGTGGTACGGGATTCTAGAGAGCCCCTGACATCTATCTGGGAAAGACTAGGATGCTGTTAGATATCAGTGATGCTCACAATTATACCGTACAAAGAAGCATTACCAGATGTTAGAGGCCAGCGGTGTGCTGAAGGGCTCAAAGTCTAGAGCCCCACATTATACCCCACCTTCAGAACACAGGGGCCATGATGCAGGATGATCTTTATAGACTAGTAATGTAACATAATGAGAAAGTCACCCCTACACTGTAAACACTACAGAGGAAGGAAGGAAGAAAAAAAGAAAGGAAGGAGGGAGTGAAGAAGGAAGGGAGGGAGGGAGGGAGGGAGGGAGGGAGGGAGGGAAGGAAGGAAGGAAGGAAGGAAGGAAGGAAGGAAGGAAGGAAGGAAGGAAACATACATGGATGTAGTGTTAGGAGACTCACAGTGCTAGAACACACAGGTAAAATCCTAAAAGTTGCCATGACTGAGCTCATGTCAGAAAGGGAGCCCAGACCAGGGCTAGGCAGTGATTAAAGTATAAAACATTCTTAAAAAGCCAACATACGGCAAATATCCATAAGATGTACCAAATCGAAATTATATTTGAAGAAATACTGTATATCCATCATATCAAGTAACTGATCAAAAATTTAGAATATGGCCCCCAAAAGAATCACAATTTAAGATTACATGCAGGCGAAGAGAATCTCACCAGTGAGTGTGTCACATTTCAAAATCCTGGAACAGAGTAAGAGCCTGGAGGAAAAGCCCTGTCTGGAGGCCGGAAGTAGAAGGGTGTTGTGGTGAGTGCCCTCTACCTGTAGGTTTAAGGTTTTGCCTTTCAGGGGATGCTATGGGAAGGTGGTGGAACCTTTAGGAGTGATGGACTAGTTGGGAGGTTCTTAGTCATTGGGGACCATCCCTGGAGGCTTGCTGAGTGATGAGGTTAGCAGTACTACACATTCCCTATTTAATGGCCAAAGGGGGGGGGCAATCAACCATGGACTGGAACACACGATATGAATCAAAATCAATCTTTCTTAAGCCAGCTATCTCTTGTATTTTGTTATGCGGCAAGAGGGTAACTCGGGGGAGTGGAAATGTTCACGTGAGTCTAATTATCTAAACTCTAAAAGTCTGTGGGGAGAGACGGTAAGATGGCCACAGAACCCTTCCCCTCCTTGCCACATACTCTTCCGGAGCTGGGGTTTGCCAGAGCTTCATCTGGTGAAAGTGACAAAGGCAGATGCTCTTTCAGCACTGGGACCATAAGCCACCATGTGGAGAACCCCAAACTTGCCTATCACAGACTCAAATGAAGCAAGAGGGGAACATGGGCAATTCCAGCTGAAGGCCTTCTAGTTCGCCAGCTACCAAGAGGTGAGCAAGTCCACGTGAAGCCATGTGGCCACTGCTCAACATCTGTAACCCACACAGAGCTGGAGCTCCTCCAAGCAGAGCCGGCGAGCCAATAATGCACAGAATGTCGGAATAATCGGATGGTTGTGATTTCAACCAACCGGGCTCATTTTTCTTTCAACAGAGCCAACTGCACATAAGGGAGCTTCTGCGACTGCGCAGGGGCTGAAATGGGAGGAATGGCTCTGATAATTTTCTCTGCCATTGCGTGTTGCTTATGTTGTATGCTGTGTTCTGCAGTTTTCTAAACAAGACTCCTTACCAGACCAATTCAGCTGCCTCGACCCTTCAAAATTATGCCACCCTCCTGCTGCCTATGGTGGCAACGTTCTAGAAACAGTAGGCGAAGTTTCACCGTTTGTATTTCCTTTTTTTTATCGTCAACTATGGTCTGAACAGATTAGACAGGCAAAGTCCTATCAGGGTGGGGTGACGGTGCCCGTCTCTAACCCCAGCACTAAGAAATGGAGGCAAGAGGCTCAGTTCAAGTTATCCTCAGCTACAAAGGGAGTCCAAAGAAAGCCTGGGATATAAGACTCTGTCTCAAAAAGCAAGTAAGCAAGGAGGAGAGGAACCCCAAAGGAGAGATAAATAATTCCTATGTTTGAAAGTGAACACTGTTCTGGGTTGGGGATGGAATCTTCTGATGTCTAGACCGTAAGTGAGCCCTCTGCCCTGTGTGCCCACACGGGATCAGTTTCCTTCTCGTTGGTCCCTTAGTTCTCTCCTCTTAGCTTTCAGATCAGATGCCCTGTAGTCATTATTGCTTATGTTCAAGGAGCCCTTCTTTTACTCACCAATGACCCCAAATGCCAGCAATTTTATTATAGTATATTGCTACAATTATTCTATTATTTTTGTTTGCTTGTTCATTTTGCAATAAGGTCTCATGTAGCCCATGCTTGCCTTGAACTTGCAATGTGGCTAAGGATGACTTTGAACTCCTGACCCTTTTGCCTTTACTTCCCAAGTAAAGAAATGACAGGCATGAATGTCCATGTTTACTTTCTAATTAGATATTGTTAATTTCTTACTGTGTATACTAATCAATAATTAATTAATCTGCCCGTTGAACTTTACTGTAGGTTTGCATGGGTAAAAAGAAATATAACTGTGTTAGGTCTGGTATGACCTTCAGGCTGCAGCGTTTGCTTGGAATGCTGCCCTTGTAGCTAAGGGGGATTACTGTACCATGATGCTCCATCCCGAGATGAGGAGGGATGTCTTACAGTCAGGGGCCCCTCGGTGCATTTAGTCCTGTCTGATGGTGTGAAGGCTCAGAGGAGGTGCTCCTAATCCTCCGTGACTGACACCCACTGATAACATACAAGTGGGAAATAACCAGGCAAACTAATCCAAGCTCCATTTCTGTTCACTTCTGATTACAGCACCTCCGAGTTCACCACTCAGACCTGGTCTCGTCTCAGCTCAAAGGCCTGACCCTGGATTCAGAGAAACCCACGATCGCAAGTCTCTATATGGCCTCTTCAGTTGCCGCCGAGAAGACAGGCGAGGATAAGGCGAAGGAAATGGAGCTGTTGGTTAGTCAAAGAAACTGCCTAATAATACCGAGCTCATTCTCCAGTCCATGGGTGGGGAATCTAAACCGCATGCTAATAAGTGGATTTGTTCCAGGAAGGCAAAGCCCTCACTGAAATAATCCCTTCCACTGACTGTTTCAATCAATTTGCTACTTAAACAAAATTGTGGATATCAGCTGAGCAACGTGGGCAGCTTTTTTAACACAATGGCAGCGAACAAGGCTGTTTTAGCGACCCGTGTTTACATTCTGGTTCCCGTTCCAGCTAGAAGGAGGCCAAGTGAGAGAGAGGGTGAGAAAACGGGGCTCTGAATCAGTCTTAAACCCTCACAGCTTCCATGTCCACATCCTTACAACAGGGACCAGAAGCAGAAAGCGCATAGCCTCGGGTTCAGCATGGACAGTGTCTGCCTGGGGCGGGTCCTACTGAACAACAATCCATCCGAAGCTCTCACGTTTCAATGAACACCCAACAGCATAGGTCCTACCCCAAGCATCTCTGTGTGTCAGTAAAACCACTTCGAGTTAAATTTCGAAAGATCCACGTTTTGCTCGACATCTACTCGATTTTGTAATATGCCGCTCCTTTTAGAGCCACACAAGGAGGTTTCCTGGCTCTTGAAACTTGCTTCCTTCCACTTTAAGATCAAAGAAATTGCATGGTAACACAGAGAAGCCAGAACTTCCACAAAGGAGCTTAAAAGTGATGGGGGTGGGGGTTGGAAGACACCCCCCCCCCGCCC